ACTTTCAATTCCCTCATAACTTCCTCAAAATCAATTTCTTCTCTCTCAAGTCTTCTTTCAAGCAAGAACTAGGGTTCCAAGCTTCAAGGCTAAGAATCAAGCCAAGGTTTCTACTCCAAGTATGTGGAGACTTCATCAATGGGTATCTCTTCACCCATTGAGCCCCAAACAAACCCAAATTTCTTCAAGTTATATTTCTCTAAATCCAGGATTTTATCATTTTCATGGGTTCTTATTGAAATTCAGTTTCTTCTTCATGATTTATCTTAAATGGCATGAATTGATCATAATTTCCTGTTTTGAAATGATATTTTCTTGAACAAATGGCATGCAAGTATTTTTCATGATCAAAATTATGTTATTTCTTTATGCATGTCTCGGATTTTTATGAATTTTGATGCTTTCGAATAAAGTATCTCTCAGTATATACAAGTATCATGATTTAGATGCTTTCGAATAAAGTATCTTTCAAATTATGTTCAGTTATTAACTTATTCTGATTTGTGAGCTACTTAGTATTTTATCAGTTATTTGCATGATTCCGTATTATCATATTATTACTATTTTCAGATTTATGCATGTTTGTGTTGGGAGTATCCTTAGTAGCGAGTGAACTTTAGTAATTAAGGTTTTCATTTAGTGTCCGTGGACCTTTTAATTTGTAGCAACCCATATGTCTCAAAACTACGTGCCACTGTAAGATTTATCTCAGATAGACATTAGCTAGTGGATCCATCATAGTTCAGTTATCAGATCCTTACCTTGGCGAGTATGGAACCCTCTTTTCAGTGTAGGATCAGTACAGTGAACTCCATCTAGTAGCTCACATGGTTTATGTCGGTTTTAAAAATTGAGATGGAGGAGTAGCATATATTATTTAAAAATTACGTAAAAAATACTGTAAATCAGAATAATTAACAACTTAAAATATTTAAAAGACATAAAAAAAATTGACTGACTTTCAAAATTGTGTCAGCGCTACATAAATTGAAACCGAGAAAGTAACATGTATTATTTGAAAATGATGTAAAAGGTACTACAAATCACAATAATTAACAAATTAAAATTATATAAAATTTTGGTTGACTCTAAAAATTCTATTAGCGTCACATACATATATTAAGACAGAAAAAGTAATATACATTATTTACAAATGACGTAAAAAGTATTATAAATAAATAAATAACGATAGTTAACAATTTCAATTTTTTATTTTTTTATTTTTTATATCAAAAAGGCCAAAGGCCAAATTTTATTAATCAAAAGGAAACATCTGTACCTAAAAGAGGGCTCAAGCACGAAGAAAAATTGAAACCAAAAGAAGATCCAACCCAAATAGCACTAAAATAAGAAGAAAAAAAATATTTTAATTTTTAAAAAAACAAAGATCAACTACTTCAAAATTTATATCTGCAAATGACATAAAAGTATTATAAATAACAGTAATTAATAACTTTAAAATTTAGCCGATATATAAAAAATTTAATTGATTCTTCAAATTTTATATGTGCAAGTGCAACATAAATTGGACATAGGAAATAACATATATTATTTGCAAATGACATAAAAGTATTATAAATCATAATAATTAACAACTTCGAAATTTAGCCGACATATAAAAAAATTGGTTGGTCCTCCAAATTCTATACGTGCAACATAAATTGAGACAAAGGAAATAATTATCTGCAAATAACGTAAAAAGTATTATAAATCACAACTATTAACAACTTCAAGATTTAGTAGACATATAAAAAAATTAAGTTGGCTCTCCATATTCTATCTGTACAATATGAATTAGGACAAATGAAATAACATACATTATTTTAAAATTAAATATAAGTATTTCATATCATAATAATTAATAACTTAATATATCTAAAAAAGACATTAGAAACTTAATTGACTATTCAAATTTTATTTGTATCATATAAATTAACACAAAAAATAACATATATTGAGCTTATACTAACACGGACACAATATATATATATATATATATATATATATATAGATTAGGATGGTCGGGAACATCTATTATTCACAACTAGGGAAAGTATTTAATTTTAGGACCCGTTTGGCCATAGATTTTCCAAGTAAAATTTGAGGAAAAATTTGGCAAATAGTGTTTGTCCATATAATTTGTCATTACTTGGCAAATAACCCAAATTCCCAAATACTAGAAAAAAGTAGTATTTGGGCCAAATCTCATTATTTGTGAACTTTTAAAAATTCAAATTCTACAACAAACTTTTATCTTTTACAAAAACACCTTCTATAATATTTGTTTGCGTTGTATTACATAATTTTTTACGTGAACGTCAAAGCAGTGATGAAATATTCAGTGAATATGAAAGTGATGATATGATTGTTGATGAAAATGACGAACAATCGGCTTAGGGTAATAAAGTCATGTGTTTCGTCTACTTCACAATGTATGAAATGATGCTTGTTGCACTCACTCCAAATTACCACATTGCTCCAATGTCATGGACACTACTTGTTATTTGTTGCAACGAAGATTCAATTGACTTGTTGCGAAAGTAATGAATCTTGTTACGTCAACGTTTCTATCTTGCTATGTAATACAAACCAATGGTTAGTTTTGATAGTTTTTATAACTTATGGGTATAAATCATATTTATTAAAAAAATGAAATATATTTCCCAAATATTATGGCCAAATACATGGTGAAATTTCACCCAAATTCTCACCAAAAATATTTGAAAATCTATGACCAAACGCTAAGTTAGAGTAAAGTCAAAGAGAAGAACGATTTTCACCTTAATATTTCCTATATTTGTTTATTTATTGCCCCACAAAAAACATCAAAATATGAGTAGGATTGTGTGTTGGTAAGTTCTAGGAATAAGCCTCATTCCCCCAGTAGATGCCGCCTGACTTGAATAGAGAACTCACCTACTTTTGTCATTTTTCACAAACCTAACTTTTTTTAACTTAACTAGTTGCTGCATTTCTATGTGGGTCACATTCTACAACTTGAAACAAAGAGCGTCATATTTTACTCATGGGGAAATAACAATTTTCCTCATCAAATTATTGTCATACTTTCTCCCTTTTTAAAAAGGAGATTGGTAGTCTCGTGATGGTAATTTATCGAAAAAGAAGAAGTGAAACTTTAAAATATCTGTATTAAATTAAAATTGTATAAATATAAACGATAGTTATAATACAATTCAAATTGAATATTATACATTATTATAAATTCGATAGTTATTATTCTAGAACAAATATAATACATTTCTAACAATGTATACAAATTTAAATAGTACCTGAATATTTAAAATTTATATATAATACTTATAATATATTTGTATTAAAAATATTTTAGTTATATATTCACTACATGCATTGAAATATGTCTATAATATTTATAATATATTGAATTCAAAATGTATTATAACTGTTGTTTATTTTTCTCTTATTAACCGTACGAAAATATGTTATTGTATTAAAAATGTTTTTGTTATATATTCAACATGTGCATTGAAACATGCCTATAATATTTATTATATATTGAATGCAAATGCAATACAATTGTTATCTTTTTCCTCTTATTTATTGAAAATGCATATTATATGTATAATGTATTGAATTCAAAATGTACTACAAGTATAATTTATATTTATTTATTTTACTAATGATCTCCATAATTTTTTTAAAAAAAATGTTAATATTCAAAACATCATTGAAACAATTGAAATTTTAAAAAGAAAAGAGAGAGGACAAAAATTATGGAAGACAAGAATGAAAGAGAGATAAAATGATGGAAGAAAAGAGAAAGAGAAAAAAAATGACTAAAGAAAAGACAAGAATGAAAGAGAGATAAAATGATGGAAGAAAAGAGAAAAAGAAAAAAATGACTAAAGAAAAGACAAGAATGAAAGAAAAAGAAAATAATGGAATAAAAGAGAAAGTGAAAACAAAAATGTATTAATAGAAGAGAGAATATAAAGAGAAAATGTGTTTTGCTTTTTCTGATAACAAAACTAATGTTATTTTCAGTAAGAGGACATACTATACCATTTATTGTAATTACTGTGTTATATTATATTATTTATGTAAAATGACCAATAATAATCCTTTTTTAGTTAGACAATCAAGCGCGAGACGAGTATGAATTTAGTTGGATCTCTAGTTATGAGTTGAGTTATAATAAATTAGAGGTTTATTTAAAATATGTCAATAGAAAGATATCATGAAATTAATAATTTCTTGAAACTATTTTCAAGCTCGGGTCAATGTATGAATCTTATGTGCTTTATATTATTTATTTGAGTATGGTTTAAATTTAGACCACATAATAATAAATATTTAATGATTTTAATTTAGAAAAACTGTTAAAAATAAGAGCAAATATGAGTCATAGGTATTTTTAAGCCTAATACTCTGTTTGGATCATTGTTACTCATTGTATTGTATTGTATCATTATCATACCTACAATGTTTGTTTTGATTGTTACTTAAAATATATTGTATTGTTAAATTTCGTTGTTACGTAACAATGAAAACCCCCATTTTATGGAACAACCGATTTGGTGTGTTCCCATTGTTACTTAATTTCTGTTTTCAATTATATCATGGCATAATATTTCATAATACTTTTTTACCCTTTACCATATATTATTTAATTCTAGTAAAAAATCCTACCCTAAAATAATTAGGGATATTTTAGTAAATTTATAAATTACAATACTACTGATACAGTCAAACCAAACAATAAAAATGTTATTAAACAACAACAAATAATACAGTCTAGCCAAACATTGTATCTACCATACCATACAATACAATACAATACAATACAATACAATACATTATGAAACAATGGGTAACAATGATCCAACAAAGTGTAAGAGATTGACGTCAGAGACATTTGAAAGTTGAAAGATGAATAAAAATAATAATTTTATAACAATTCAAATAGTTAAAAATAAAGTAATTATTTAGAAATTAATGGTATAGTCAGCAATGAGGCAGCAAGCCACCTACTATTTCTACGGAATGGCGCAGTATGCAAAGGATTCAAATTTTGTCATTCTTATCTTTAGTTTTCAAAGTTGTTGGGTTCCATTCCAAACAAGATTCTCCAACCCCCATTATTTAAATCTATTACCTATCTTTCACCAACCTACTCAACAACAAATAAATTTCCCAAATATAAATTATTTCTATAAATCCCTAAAAGTGGATTATGTTTCAATTTTGCATATAAAAACTAGTCTATTTTTGTTGATTAAGGGGAAAAAATGGGTAGTGTTGGATTGTTGAAGAATTCCGCCATGGTTTGTGCTCCATTAATGTCGACATCAGTGGATCAATTAATTGATGATATGGTTGAGGCAAAATCACAAGGTGCAGATTGTGTTGAGATTAGGCTTCATGCTATCCACAATTTCCTTCCCCACAAACATCTTCAACTTCTCTTCAAAAATAAGCCACTACCTATTCTCATTGTTTACAGGTATTTTTTTTTGTCAGTTTATCTTTGTGATAATTGAAACTTTAAAAACATTAAATAAACAGAACTCTTTTTGAAAAGACAATAAAATTCATTTATTTGAGTATAAAATATTTTATTGAAATATTATTTATTACGTTAAATTTATAAGATTTAAAGGCTATAGTCAAAATGAATGCAAAAAATATATATTTACAAAGTAGATTGTTAAGTTTGATTATGAAGAACTATAAGATAATAACTTCTAATCTGAATATAAAATAAAATATTTACAAAAAATTATAATTCCAAATTTGAAATAATATATATTTAAACATTCAAAACTTTATAAATTAATTAAAAACATATTAACAAATTGGATTATAATTAATAATTTTTATTTATAAAATAAAATTATATATATTATATCGGTTGAATTTGAGTTTGGTGTGACTTTTTTCTTTTAATATCAAACCAATCCACAAATCAATTTATTTAATTTGTCTATTCGATTTGACTAGATATTTAAAATTGGCCAAACACATTTACAGCCCCTCAAACTTGCCCTTTTTTTCATTTTGGCACTCCAATTTAGCCTTGTTCCATTTTAATCCTTAAACTCCATTTTTTCTGTACCATATAAATGTTTATACTAATTTTTATGATTTCTTTTTATTTATGTTCTTCAATTGCAATTTCTTGTTTTAAAAAAATAGACGTGTGTCTGTTAATTTTCGTAAAAAAAGTAAACATTCGCGAATGAACATAAAAAATTTTTCAAACAATAATATTATTTTTTGATATTTCTCTGTATTTTCGCATGAAAATAAATTGATGAAAGTTATTTGATTTTCTTTCTTAAACATTCAATTAAATTAAATAACACTACTTATTTATTATTT